CGGATTTCTTATATTTTTCCTTCTACCCTGAAGATGGAGGCGATATGTTCCTCCGAAACGTCGGTTAGCACCACATATACACGGTGCAAAATCCCAGAAGACTGCTTTCTTCAAGCAGAATAATGTGTGAGGAGGTTGTGCATAATGTGCCTATCCCGCTGTTGATTAACATAAAGAAACCATGGCACTCGCTGTAGAATGAGATCTGTCGCACGATGAAACTGCAACAAACATTTCTCAATTCGCACAATGAAGAATGGGTCCCATTATATCTAACGATGTCGAGGTTATACTACATAAAGGAATGTGCCTGACCCCGTCTGTATTTGGTCGGCGTACGCGTCTCTCGTGGTGGTATGAAGTGTCACGATAACTCCGTGATGATAGCCAAGGTGTCATGGTCAAGCTCCTTAGTGGCAGTTGACTTAGTTTATCCAGATGGGGGACGGCTATTAGTAGGTCGTAATGCCTTGCTGGATAAGTGGGTTTGCAGTCTAGCCGTGGGCATCATTTACTGTATTTACCTCACGTGATAATCATGTTGTAAGTACTAATACCACTACTAATCGATGATGATGATGATCATCAGCGTTGTGGCATCACCATCATCATCGTCCAAGTAGACATATTTTATACAAAAATAAAATTGTATGAAATGAATGCAGAATCCTTTATATTCCACCTGGACTAGCATATTACAGCATGTTGCAAGGGTTCGTCACAAGAATGCATTGCAGAATCACGATATAAGTGGAACTAGTTATTCGAAAATATGGTAGTATTTATTAGCAACAGCAATAAATCGAAATTATATTCACGAAGAGCTGAAGAGTATATTAAATTCGGGGATTGTTTACCGTTGAGGAGTTCAGAATCTTTTATTTTCGCGTCTTCCATGTAATCACAGCAAGGCCCTCTAGGCTTCCTTAAAAGCGGGAAGTTCACAATCAGAACCGGAGGTGCTGGGTGATATGGCATTTTCCATGCATCGCTCTTCTTGCTGTTCTTGGGCAGAGCTGGCCAGAAGAAACAGGGGCTGACCATTTATTTATAGGTGGCACAGAGGTTGCTGGTCTCGACCGCCGGAAGTTTCAAACAGCGTGTTTTGCCCAGAACCTCAAAGAGTTCAGCATATGTAGTTGAGTGCGTAACACTTGAATGCCATTTGGAATAACACACATTTGGAATAACTCCTTACAGACGTTAATTATAACGTCTTCCCCCACGCCATGATGCGGATCCAGTGTGTCCTGTCACCGTAAAGCCTTGAGGAGGCGCGACACGATTTCGGGAAGTTGGTAATGGCCGCGCGCTCCAAAGCGATCACCGGACTTTATGACGAAGCCCTCATGACGTTTCCCCGAGGGTTAGAAAGGTGTTTATCAGCCCGCGGGCCGCGGCCCGGCATCAGGCCCTCGTCTTGTAGAAAAAAGAATTTACCGGACCGCGGTGTGACAAAGGTTGAGAACATTTGCCGCTGCCTGAGCTCAGTAACGGTGACGTGTTCACCGGCCGTGATCGGGGAATCATAGATGAACACGTATCAGAGTTTGGTGTCCAGTGTACACAGTCGGACCCTATCATCTCTGCTCAATCGATTAATGACTGTTATCGTCATACGTCAGCAGTCCAATCTAATGATTATAATTGGGTCTCCGAGACGGAAGGAGAAATTGGACAGATATGTGTAGGCCTCCCAGGGGACAGTGAAAGAGGGGTAGGGAGCGTGGTTATGTCGAGTAGGAAGGAGGGTTGCAGGGCTTTACTCAATTTGTGTACGTTTTTAATGGTTGCAGTTGTCGGTGTGTTCTGACTGCTTCGATGTTCTTATTTTTATAGAAGTCGATGTTGTGTTTAGTTTCGGTGGAGTGTTCGAATACTACTTCTTGGATGTTCTGTAGTCGGATGTCTTTTATGTATTCTCAGATACTAGTGAGGATGTGACGGTCATTCAGTTTTCATGTTGGTCTTTGCACATTTACTAGTCAGATTTCCGCGACTCTGCCAATAAACAGAAAGGCCGCAAGCCACGTAGAACAAGGCCGTATTTCGAACTTCACCGTAATATTGGCTGTAAACAGCATACACAACTGCATGCCGTAACTGGCTGCACTTTAAACTCCATGTTGCTACGGTGTTAATGCAGCTTGACCTCAAGTTTTTCTTAGAAATTACGTCTTACGTCGTATGTCATAAATTAAGAATTCAGTTTCCTCGGAAGTTGAAGGCAAGTACATCGAGAGTGCAACGAGAAAAACTTTAAAGCTACATCTTAACTTATTCTTCCGTTTCATCCCCTTTCCCCGTAATAACCTGCTGGCACATTAAAGTGCCATATATATATATATGTCGTATTTTATTTTTTACGTGCTGTTGTGTTGTAACGTCGAGGTATTGGGGCCGGGAACACAACAGAGACGTAAATTATTTCCAGTTTTAATAAAATCGATTATATTAATGAAATATATCAGTAGTTTGATCAGATGTGTTTTCTCATTCACAACGTGTTTCGGTCTCAAGAACAATCAACAAGTAGTTTGTAAATGAATAAATAAAATATTACACGTATTATTGAGTTGCATGGTTGAATGGATCCATTTTTACAATGAAAAACGCCTTAATAAATTTCTTGTGCTGTGATAAAATATAAACAATAAATTATATTAGTTGCGTAAGTTGTTCAAATAGCGGTGGATGGCGTATAATGTGGCGCTGGTGTACAATAGTAAGGAAGGTTATTGTGACATGACGCATGAAAGTCGAATAGTCCATTGCTAGACAACGGCCCGCTAAAGCGCTTATCCGAGGCGACGGATATTGTAGAAATTAGAGCATTGCTACGAAATTGACACACGTTCCATGTCAACGAATAGGCACGCAATAAAAACGATCTTCTGGGGATGGTGATCTCTGCTCGGTTCGCCCCGAGTTATAAAAAGGGGATGCATAATTGATTCGAGAGTTACTTCGCAAGTGAGCCGGAATTGGGCAGTTCTCATTCGTAAGAGAATTCAGTGTTCAGCTGTGGAGCGTTAACCAGCCGACAGCGGAAGCTGAAGAAGTGATCAGATTCGTAGATCAGCAGGCAGTCAGTGACACAGTAAAGTAGAAGACACTCGTAGTCCAGTAAGGAATGGAGCGAGTCTTGGGCAGTCATTGGTTGTGAGCTGTTATAATTGGTTGCAATTATAAAGAAGGCGGCAATATATCCAGTCATCCTGTCCAGACCCCGTTATTATTAGTCACGCGAACCATTCATACGTAACATTTTGGTGTCAGAAGTTGTTACGTCCGTAAATTCGTGACAGTATATTCATAACTGTGTAAGTAGCAGTGCGGTATCTATTTGTACTTGTTCTATTTTATTCTTTTTAACATTGTTGGTGGATCTGTATGCCTCTGAGTTCCTTGAAGTAGTGTATGCATAAAAGGCTCTATAGAGTGTATAAGGTGTGTTATACTAGGTTGGTGAAGAATCTTCTGTATTCTAGACGCGTCGTAATGGATCCCCCTCATCAATGAAGAGGTCAACAAGTCAAAATTAAAGTTTTTTTATGAAAATCAATGTCCTCCGCTACATGTGCTAGTTTTGCTCTTGAGTTTAGTCTTAATTCGAGAAGTCGCCCTGGTGGCATGCTTCTTTATCTGCATACTTAGCTATACATCCTCTATATTTTTTACCCTTGTTTTTAACTTAATCCATACCACTGTTTTATCACATTTTGACAGGTGCACGCTTGGCACAAAAGTTTTAGCTTGTCTTTTATTGTGATTTTATTCTTATCTCCCAATGATGGAACCTGTTGTCAAGTGTTTATAGGCTGTTCTCTACTGACTGGCGTTTGTCCAGAGATTGAGACTAGCTCTTTGTATCGGGCCCAACTGAATAGGTCTGTCTTGCCCCATCCACGTGAGGATGGAGACAGATCCAGTCTCCGAAACGTGTTTGTTTTTGTCTTGTTTATACCAGACGATGGATGGAGTCCAAAATAAACCTTATAGTTCTATGAATTAGGTAGTTTTTTTTACGTAAGGGAATTATTTCAGCAGTTACGAGGGCAGAGTTAGTGATAGGATGTCGTACGTAATTCTAAGAGGTCGCGGGTGCGATATTGGTATTTCGCTAAATTAGGAGATGCTTGTTATCGTGTTGAAATGCGAGTACATGTGTTTATTGACTTGGGTAACACGCATCAGACAACTGATGCCCTTTGATGCTTTGCATGCTCAATGGTCATTGCAAGCCCTTGGCCTCATATGCATTTTATACATTCATGGTGACCCTATCTGATGTTCGTTACATAGTTGCTTGGCGATGTGCCTGGGATCGTTTAGCTGTGAGTTGGCCTCGAGAATCTGGGAGTTGCTGTTTTGGTACTACATGCGTAATTATATTTCGTTTGGTTGTAAAATAAGACTGTCACGTGACCATCTGTAGACTGCTTGCTTCAGATTACTTCATTCTTGTGTTATGTGACGAAACTATACTTATTGCAGAAGTTGTTAGGAACGAAAAGTGTGTGGGGATAATAGTAAATTGAAAAGAATAGGGAGGGGAAGAAATCTTGCCTTGCTTGTAGACTTTATTTCTCCATTCACCAGGAGATAGGCCTGCGTAGGAAAACCACGGAAACTGTGGCTATAGACACCCCACCCCCAGTCGTGATTCGAACTGGGATCTTCTGTGGAACTAAATTATTCAAGAGCCAGATTCTGAATTGTGTAGGCTACCGGTGTTTCTTTCTAGGATCGTCGCTATAACCCTTGCAGTAGAACTGGTACTTAACTATGTATATAGTTAGTTATTTTAGAGAGGGTGGGTTTCCCCATGCACCGCGACCAGTTTGATATATTGTGCTTCCCTCTATGATATTCTACCAGTCTCTTTACCCTACCGATAAATGGTGCGTACCATCAGTCCCGCCGAGCAAGCGAGTTTGGCCACTTTTCTTAGCGGTGTCTATAATGCTTCCCCCATCTATCGGAGGCCTTAGAGGCTATTGTTGGGCGGGAAACGTCCTGGAATTTGGCTCAGTGATCCCCTTTGGGGATATGACGTTCTTTTATATGCCGTAAAGTTACGACACGGGACACACAGCTTAAAGTCCCTCCCGGAGGACTTGTTCCATGAATTTTTCCGCCCTTAAACATTCGACGACCTCCGCCGGGTTTGAACCCGCGTACCACGTGTCATGAGGTGGGAACGTTACCTCTAGACTACGGAGGCCGCTAACTATGTGTATAAGAACACGCTATAGTTACTGTATAAATTCGAATTTAATTTTTTTAATCCGCATAGTGGGGGGTGGAGTCCAGCTGGGTCCACTCGGCACGTCGGCCACTGATTGGCCTATTGTACCTGCCCCGGCTGATTATGATGGTGGATAGTTTGGTGGGATGAAGATTTGGAGGGGAAACTGAAGTGCTCGGAGAAAACTTGCCCCAGTGCCACTTTGCCCACCACAAATCACACTTGACTAGACCCGGGCCGCCGCGGTGGGAAGCCAGCAGCTAACCCCTATAACCCACTGACGTGACTAGCCGCGTCCGTGGGTTATCAGCCCAAACCGCAGTTGAATAATTGGCCGCGAGCGACTCGGCAGTCGCGTCGCTTTAATGGGTTGTGCACCAGTAATACAGGGAGATCGAGAAGTCGCGCACATCACACTAAGCAATTATATTTTGCTGGTCTATTGCACAAACTACAAGACATACAGCACACACTATTAATGTTTATAACCTTACATCTTAGAAATGCAAAATCAAACCATGTCTTTACAACATATGCTCGAAATGGCTTCCCTGTTCAGCAATGCATACGCGAGCTCTTTTTGCCATGTTTGAGGCCACTTTGTGGTGCACATGTAAACTGATGCTGTTAATCGCCGTCGTAATGTTCCTCTTGAGGTCATCCATTATGTGCGGATTGTTTTTATAGACAATTCCTTTGCGGTACCCCCAAATGAAAAAAATCTGCGGGTGACAAATCGGGCAAACGCGGGGGCCACAATCCTTTCGAAATTTGACGGTCACCGAAAAACTCGCGCAAGAACTGCATGGTTTCATTAGATGTGTGACATGAGGCACCGTCTTGCTGCAACCAATAATCACGTTCTTCAACTTCAAGAAGCGCAGTAAACTGTGTAATGGTGTGTTGGTACACTGGACTGTTCACTGTTGTTTGAGAGAAAATTGGGCCCACTATTCGACGACGTGATACAGCACACCACACTCCAATTTTCTGACAGTGCAAGGGCTTTTCATGTAACACATGTGGATTTTCAGATGACCAAATCCTGTTGTTTTGACTGTTCACGTAGCCATTAAGGTAAAACCACGCTTCGTCAGTGAAAAAACCCCGATCAAACTCTTCAATTCCATGGTTGCCACAATGAAAACTCGTTGTTCTTGGGAAAACGACATGTCTGTCACGCAGTAAACAAAGCTATACTGCAGACGTCGTATAACCGATAGACGACAGACTTTTAGTTTGATGTGCGCGACTTTTCGATCTTCTTGTACAACTAACGGACGGTCGCGACTAATCGCGTCAGTGGGGTTACAGCCTAACTGCTCGAGCTATGGCGCGGCCAAATTCGAATATAAGGCGCCCCCCTATTTTTCCAATGAGATTTTTTTTTTTTTTTTACAAAATGGAATATGTCGTTTAGTTCTGGGGGTTGTAAGAAAGAAGAATTGAGAAATATTCTATTAAGAAGTAATATATTAGATATTTAATATGTAAGATTTGAGGCTTTCACGGCGGTGACTATGAAGAAAGCAGTCTTCTGGGATTTGGCACCGTGTAGATGTGGTGTTAACCGACGTTTCGGAGGAACATCAGTTAACACCACATCTACACGGTGCCAAATCCCAGAAGACTGCTTTCTTCATAGATATTTAATACTTTAAATATTGTCAGGATAGGGAACACGGCGATGAACCTTCGGGTTCCATAAAATGCTGGGAAATTCTTGAGTAGCTGCAGAATTGGCGGCTCCTCAAGAAGGGCTCAGCTCCATGAGTAAGTAAGTAAGTAAGCATATTTGCTCAAAGCAAGACCTGCGTCGTGTGGGGGAAATTACGAACAGGCCCGTGTTTCGGAAAGGTCGCGCTACGTATGCCTACGTTATACGCTGTGTGATTAGACACAGTGTTTTTGGTAGTTTGTCAGAATGGTCAGAACCTTGTTCCTAGACTGACCTATCTCTGAATAGAAATCCTATGGTCAAACATTTTTAGTACATCTAGCAGCATTGTGTAAAATTATTGTACTTAAGGTCGTCTTGTGAAATGCTTTACAGCCGAAAAACATGTAGTTGATGAAATTGTCGAATACCAGATGGTACGTAGGCGAAATGGCTGTAGATAAAGTGTCCAGATATGCTTGTCACTACTTTTTTAGGTATGAATTAAGTAACTTCATGGAACAGAGTTCTTGAGAAGCTGAGAGTCGGTAATCAGATTAAGAAACTTACACAGATTAAGAAATTATTTGCTATTTATGGAACATAAAGGCTTATTACCGTTAGATTTTAGGTTTTCACAGCTGTAACTATAGAGATTACTATCTTTTGGTGACGTGTAATGTTGTGGTTTACCGAGGTTTCGAGGGACGTACTACCTCCATCTTCAGGATCGAAGAGTGAGGCAAGTAACAACCTACTTGTTGCTTGGCCTATACTTTGACGCCGAAGAAGGAGGCTACACGTTTCTCCGAAACATCGGTAAACTGACACCAGACTGCTCGGCTTCACATCCGTGAAGATAGCACTTTTCGCTTATTACCGTCTTCTCTAGATCCCTCCACTGACCGCTGTTATGAGCCAGTTCGCGCCCTGTTTCTTTTCGGGTCCATTTCCGGTGCTTAGGCTTATTTATATTCTTCGGTGCCATTCAATAACCACAGCAGTTGATAAAACGTTGTTAAACAATCCTTCCCGTCTCTTTTCAAATAAGCGATCCCTGAAACACGTGAAACACCTCATCTTTGATCAGCTTCACTTTCAAAAGTGAGAGTACTTGATGTAATTCTAAAAAGAAAGGCGAAATGGACTTGGTTCAGCGAGAGCCCGTTACTCCTAGCTTGGGATCTCTGTTGCGGGCTGTTGCGTGTGCACATGATTGTAAGAAAGGGCTTCGTTAATGCAACCACGCGGCGGCACGCAGGTTTCCACAATGCTTGCAGAGATTGGATCGCATTATTTGCTCGTTCTAATTAAAAGAAAGCAGTGACGCTGTCGTGTCGACTAAAACTGAAGTATGTAACAATGTCTCAATGCCGCGAGCGTTCAGCCGGTTAAGAAATTCCCAGCCTTTCAAGGAACCCTCAGGTTCATTACTATGTTAACAAGAGACAACCACTGGGTTCTATCCGGAGACACCTGAATTCAATTCACACCTTTTCACCCTATTTCTTTACCGTATTGTCACATATCCAGGGCGTGTCATTTGTATATAGACTGTACAATATGGGGGACAGGACAGAGCCTTGTGGCACCCCTGCTTTTATATTCCTTGGTGTAGACATTTCACCACTGACCAAAACTCTGAATTTTCTCTGAGGAAAGAAAGAGCCAATAAGCTTGATTAGACTAATCGAAAATTGTAATGTAGATAATTTATATAGCAAGCCAAGGTGCCACGTTGTATCAAAGGCTTTTTCACTATCAAGAAGTCACTGTCACATAGCCGCGGGACAGACTCCACAGAAAGCACATCCATTGCCTAGCAATCGACGTCTGTTATTGTTATGTATTGTCATAGGCTTTACCTAGCAATAGATTGTTTACGAGAATCAATCTCTTTGGGGAGGCATTTATCAAGCCGTTACCCAGCAATGGGTCTGTATGTCACAGTATGTTTTAATGGTATCCTGTTGTAGCTTTCAGTGAATGCACCCTGTTGTGTATCATATATTATTTCTTACTGAAAACCGTCACAACAGAACAATCAATAATACATGTAAGTAGCTCTAGGAGATAGTTTTGGTATATATTTCGGCCTTCAAAAGGCCATCATCAGGCAAATACATTAAACTTTTTGTTATTTAATTGCATGTCAAATATAGAACACAGTACTAGACTTCCAAGTATATACAATGGTACAAAATGATATGAGTGAATATAAAATATAATTTACAATAAATGTTGAAGTCTTAAAATAACCAGTTACACAGTCAAAAGTTCAGTTAAAACTTGTATATGTGATGGTACTTGGAAGTTGGCAGTTGTAATTATTTATAGTATATGTATATATTACATACACAATGGTTGATGTGGTGTACAGAGGCTCTTTGTTATGTTGAGATGTTAATACATCTCTCCATCAAATCGGACATTTACACAGCGGAGTCGCCCATCAAACAGTATCAAATATTAAGTAATAACAAACAACATAACAACAGGCCTCCGTACACCACATCAGCCATTGTGTCTGTAATATGTCCATATAAATGATTACAACTGCCAACTTCCAAGTACCATCACATATACAACTTTTAACTGAACTTTTGGCTGTGTAACTGGTTATTTTGAGACTTCAACATTTATTGTAAGTTATATTTTATATTCCCATGTTAGGTGGGTCCCTTGTCACCACAGCATAGTGCGTCCTCAGGTTGCAGATGGAGGAGACGTCCTCCAGTTTTGGAGGGAAGCTGCGGATATATTGAATAAGCAGGCATGGAGAGCCGATAAGGGGTGGCCCTCCAGCTTGGGGGTTGGGCGTGGGGCTAACAACTCCTCACTGTAAGAAACAATTACGTTACAAAAATCAACACAAAGCCTCGGACCTGGATGGATTCCTTGGATAAACGACCAAAGCTAAAGAAAATGGATATGAGTTTAGACATTTGGAATGTTCAAAGTTTGTATAGGGCAGGTTCGCTCATGGCAGTGGCAGAAACTTAGATTTAGCGGGAGTACAGGAGGTCAGATTGGTTGGGGGGGGCATCTTACCAGCAGGAGACTACACATTTTTCTATGGAAAGGGGTATGAAAATCATGAATTAGGTACAGGTTTTTTCATACATAAGAGAATCGTATCAGCAGTTAAGAGGATAGAGTTTGTTAATGATAGGATATCATACATAATACTAAAAGGTTGCTGGTGTGATATCATTGTTATGAATGTTCACGCCCCAACAGAAGATAATATTAATGAGATAAAGGATATATTCTATGAAGAACTAGAACATTTATTTGATAAATTCCCAAAGTACCATATGAAAATTTTGTTAGGAGATTTCAATGCCAAAGTAGGGAGGGAAGACATTTTCAGACCAACAATTGGGAATGAGAGTTTGCATGAAATTAGTAATGATAATGGAGTTAGAGTAGTAAACTTTGCCACATCAAAAAATCTTACTATCAGAAGTACAATGTTCCCACATCGTAACATCCATAAATTTACTTGGACATTTCCCGATGGGAAGATACACAATCAAATAGACCATAATTCAATAGATAGGAGATGGCACTCAAGTATACTTGATGTCCGATCATTCAGGGCAGCAGATTGTGATACTGACCACTACCTGGTGGTGGTAAAAGTTAAGGAAAGACTGGCAGTGAGCAAACAAACAACACACAGAGTTCCTATGGAGAGGTTCAATCTCAAGAAATTAAATGAAGTAAAGGGTAAAGAGCAGCATTGTGTTGAAATCTCAGAGAGGTTTGCAGCTTTGGAAAACTTGGAAACTGAGGTGGATGTTAATAAAGCTTGGGAAACTATTAAAGAGAATATAAAAATGTTGTATTTTAGCGTCCTGTTGCACTGATTCACGTCCTTGATGTGTATGTATTGATCGTCTTCTAGTGCACACAATCTCACTTGTCACTTCACTACATGTTTCGGCATCACTGTGCCATCCTCAGGTGTGTTATTTACGTTAAACTATTGCACTGCTCGCCATCATGTGTCGTTTGTAAAATGATTTAAAATTTATATTCATCATGTACTATAATAAAATTTATATATTAAAATTTTGTTAAGATTTATCATCTTATACATCGTATTTCAAACTCGCGTATTAGGGAGAAGGAGGGTCTGAGAGTGTGGACTGTATTTACCTAGCTCATGGTAGAATCCAGTAATGGGCATTTCTGAACGTGGTAATGAACCTGCAGGTTTGATAAAAGGCAGGAATTCCTGTACTAGTTGAGCAGTACTGTAGCAGTTGAGCAACTGCTAGCTTCTCAAGGAGGACTCTGCTTTATTTAATTAGATAAAATACATTTTTTTTTTATTTTAAAACTTACAGACACTTTTTTTTTTTTGTAGTTGATCTGGTGGATCATGTCTTGTACACAAGAGTCTCGGTTAAAATGCAAAATGAAACTACGCATTGTCAGATACAGACTTTTTATAAATTCTGATGGTCCTGATGGCCCAGTGATTGAGATTAGCAGTTACTAGGTGTCTCCCACCCTCTCACCTGAGGATGGAAATGGATCAGTTTCTGAAACTTTTTCTTTAGAATTCTGAACAATGGACAAAGTCGAAAACCCCAGTAATTCCAAAGGTTTCAGCATTTAGTAGGCTAAAAGAAAGAAAGTGATGTGGAGAACAGTAATGGAGCAGAGGGTTTATACAGTTGTTATACTGTGTAAAAGTGAAAGGCTTCATCTGTCATTTGATAAGAGACATTTCATGCCAGATTACCGAGTCTGTAGAAGATTAAGGGAACATTATTGCTTTTTTTTTTCTAGCTCAGAGTACCAGTCCATGTGAGCTTCACAGTAAGGCCTCGGGACCTGATAGTGGACTTTCATAAGAGGCATCTTAAATGTGGAGTGAAGGGACAGCCTCTTATCATTGATGGAGAACTTCATAGTGATATAAAACTAGAGGAGTCTACGTGGGTTTTGGAAGATGGAAAAACTGTTTTCATCACATTAGAAAAGGTAAGTGTTTGGTCTGTGTTGTATTAACAGTTTTCCTGAAACTTGATCTGAAGGTCATGCCACTAGAGACCACAACCTCATTATCATCCACCTTGGCATAAACATGCTAGTTGCATGATTTTTGAGGTGGAAGAACCCTCTTTTTAATACCATTCTGTATAAGATAAGAGAATTTAGTTATCTTTAAAAACATTCATATTTGTTAGGATGCTTCTAATAGTTTTGCAGTGCATGGTAAAATCATCATCATATGGTGCAGTTTGAGTCAAATTTGGCAACTCAGTTTACCTTAGCAATACTGTCACTTGGTTACCAGAAAAAATAGGTGAGATGATAGACGGCCCACTGCAGGAATGAATACACTAGTGATCCCTCATTGGGACTTACGTTCACTGGTCATAAAGTGTAAGTTAATCTAGGGGCTTTGTTCCTTCCATATCTTCTTTATCACTGTTACCATCATGCTGAGATTGTTACATTTAAATGATAATGGGCTGTATGTTATCAGTTGAATGAGACCCTTTAATGAGAGGTAAAGTTGTCCCTATGCTGTGAAACTTACACAGGTAACAGTTGTGTAATAGGAGTCCTGTTTACTAAATTCATGTGAAATTTAAACATGTTCCTAACACAATACTTTTGTCACCTCAATTTATCATTTTTACATTAACAGGTTAGGTGCCATTCTGATAACTCATAATAATTATTTTACTGTTTCTTCGATATTTTAATGTGGTGTAACTTTATAACATTGCATGAAGTGCATTTGTGCAGGCATCCCAGATGTATTTTATGGCTGTGTTTTCAATATTATTAAGTTCTCACATCTTTTTCTCTTGTCCAATATCAAGATTTCATTACAGTAATGAAGTGTTACTTTTAACGTAAGTTTTGTAATCATAGTTGAGATTGAATTTGTAGTTGTGTGTTCAGATGTGTCTTAATTATCAATGTTCAGTCTTACTTTTCTTCAGCTTTACTATATAAGAACATCTTATTTAATGAAGGTGAACAAAATGGAGTGGTGGAGTCGGCTTGTGCAGACCGATCCTGAAATAAGTACCCAGAAAATCAACCCAGAACCCTCAAAACTGTCAGATCTGGATGGTGAGACACGTGGCCTTGTTGAGAAGATGATGTATGATCAAAGGCAGAGGGAACTTGGTCTCCCTACTTCAGATGAGCAGAAGAAGCAGGACATCATTAAAAAGTAAGATGCTGTTATAAGCGGCCTCTGTAGTCTAGAGGTAACATTCCCACCTCATGACTTGTAGTACGCAGGTTCAAATACCCGGCGGAGGTCGTCGAATTTTTAAGGGCGGAAAAATTCAGGGAACAAGTCCTCCGGGAGGGACTTTAAGCCGTGGGTCCCGTGTCGTAGCTTTACGGCACGTAAAAGAACCTCATATCTCCAAAGGAGGTCACTGAGCCAAATTAACGGACGTTTCCCGCCCAACAGCAGTCTCTAATACCTCTGGTAGATGGGGGAAGCATTATAGATACCTCTCAGCTAGTAGAGCCGGTCTCGATGGCTGGGCGGGACTGATGGTAAGCACCAGTACCGGTAGGATATAGAGACTGGTAGAAATCATAGAGGGAAGCACAGTGGACCAATACAGGTCTCAGTGCATGGGGAAACCCACCCTCTCCAATAACTAACTAACTAACTAACTAACTAAGATGCTGTTATAACTTTTAAGCTGTGTCTGCACATTCACTCTCAGTGATATGGAAAATCATTCCTTATAGTGTTCTGATAAAGATGGGTTGGATCTACCATATGGGACACATCAGCTGTTAGTTTATGCTGATGTTAATTATTAAGTGAAGTGTACTTTCTGGGAGATAAGACTGTAAAGATGATGGAAGACATTTCCTGGTGGAGTGTGAATTCACATCTAATAGGCATATACTGTATTCCTGTTTATTTCATAGTACTGTAGAAATGAGTTATCACATTAAGCATGCAAGGGGCTCCAATATTAATAGTGATTAACTGGCCTGTATTCTTGTATCATGTTCACAACTTACATAAAAAGATGGAGGACGGTGTGGTTTTGGAAGTGAGTGATGATCCAGTTATTGCTACAGAAAAAATGGAACGCTCAGAATTAAAATGTCAGTGTTGTGTAGGATTAAAGTTGGAAGCGAATAAGATCGCAATGGAATTGGAATCTGCCTTAAAAATTATAGAAATTTTGAAGGAAGAGCTGGGCATTGCGGACGCGTTGTCTAGTGCTAATAAAAGTGTCATACGAAATAGTGGAAATGGGTCTCAGATATCTTCAAGTGAAAGAAACTTGATCCAAATACAAACAAATCAACATAAGAAGGTAACAGATAAGTTAAAAGACCATGAGGAGACATATGCAAGAACAAGTAATCATTTTGAAATTCTCTCTAACCTAAATGAGGCTATTAAATCAACTGAAGCAGTGAAGGAAGAAAATCTCAAACCAAGTAAAACTGTATGAAATAATATGGACAAAAGTAAAATCCAAGCAAGTGTTAGTAAATACAAGCATGATGCAAATAGACAGATGATTAATAACATTTCAGTGATAGCAAATGGTCTAGTAACATCAAATAACAAAAAAGTTCTAAGCAGTGACAGTAGATCCAGTGTTAAAATACAACCTGCAGGCGTTGAAGGAGAGGAAAGTGTGATAGAAAAAGCCCTTTGTAAGAAGCTCTTAAAGGAAAATTCGAAACACCTCCCCCCTCAACATAACCTCCAAAATGTAAATAGTTCAGGTTCTCATCACAGGATCATAACTGTGGGGGATAGTCATGCGAGAGATTGTGCAAATGAAGTGCAACAGATGTGGGAAGTGGTTTTGAAGTCCAAGGAATAGTGAAACCAGGAGCAAGTATGGAAGTAATGGTGAATACTGTAAGTAGAGATATAGGGAAACTCACATATAAAGACATTGTGGTAGTGTGGATAGGAACATTGGATGTTGCAAAGAATGAGACAGAAAAAGGACTTCACCGAATAAAAAATTGTGTGGAAAACCACAAACAGACTAATGTTATTGTGATGAGTGTACCGCACAGACATGACTTGGAGCAAAAATCATGTGTAAATGATGAGGTAAAAAGGTTTAACAGAAAGTTGAAAGAATTATAAAGGTTTTAGGAAATTCATGCGTTATAGAGGTGGAGTCTGAAAGGGACTTGTTTACTAATCATGGGTTACATATGAATTCAAGAGGTAAGGAGCAGATAGCAAAAAGAATAGCAAGTGAAATTTTGGATATGTTGAGGGAGAAAAAGTGTGATCCAATTATGATGAAAGGGAAGGGTGAACAAGGGATGGAAGAGGAAGGGCCGCATATTCCACCGACAAAGGCACTACAAGAATCGATGAAAGGAAAAAATAAACCTAGGGAAGAGAAGGGCAGGGAAAGAAGTCAAGAAAAGGGTCAGTTGTGTGAGAGAAGTGAGGGATGGCAAAATAAGGCAAAATAAACCAAGGCTTGTACAAGCCTTGGTTCAATCAAAAAGACCTTGTAGACTACCTACAAATAGAAGCGAGGATTTTTTGTGGGTAGCCCTCAACAAGAAATAAAAATAGTGATAAAGAATGGAAGTGAGGAAACATCAAATCCACAAAAAATGGCAGACATGTTGAATTCCTTTTTTATTGAAAGTGTTGAAGATCTTTTAGTGAATAATATGAACCATTCTCCAGTACAAACCTCACAACAGAGAATTCAGTATCAAATGAACACAATGTTTTGGCTCCCTATTACCGAAATTGAAATAGAGAGGGTAATAAAAAGTCCTAAGAGGTAAACCATATGCAGGCTTTGATGAAATTCCAGAATGTTTAGCCAAGAGATGTTCACATTACATAAAGAAACCTTTAGTACATATTTTCAATGCCTCTTTAAAATCGGGTCTTTCTGGATAAGATGAAAATAGCTAAAGTAAGACCACTGTATAAAAAATGTGAAAGACAAGAAGTTTGTAATTACAGACCAATATCAGTTTTGTCAGTTTTCTCCAAAGTACTAGAAAAATTGGTGTATAACAGGTTGTTATCCTTTGCAACAAAATATACCATATTAAGAAAAGTGCAAAATGGATTTAGGAAAATCAAGTCGACAGATACAGCTTCCCAGACCTTCATTGAGAGTATACAGGAGGCGATGGATAGACGGTTACATGTTATAGGAATATTTTTTGACTTGACAAAGGCATATAATGTGATAGACTACAATATATGACTAGATAAATTAAATTACTATGGGATCAGAGGGGTTACTAATTTATGGTTTAAATCCTACTTATCTCACCGAGTACAATTTGTTGAAATAAATCACCTGAATAAAAATATCATACAAAATATCACCCTTGAGAAAAACAATACATTCAATTCTGGGACCACTACTGTTTCTTCTGTATATAAATGATCTCCCGCTAAATGTACAAGGTGTGGAAATGGTATTGTTTGCAGACGATATTAATGTGCTTGTTATTGATAAAGATAAAGATGTAGCTCAACAGAAAATAAATAAGATCATGAAACAGCTTGAAACATGGTCTCAGGTAAATAACCTTGTGATAAATATTAAAAAAAAACTGCTCTATCATTCCATCTTAGTAAAAGTAGGTTTGTAGTTAGACCACAGATACTCTATAGTAACTTTGAAATTGCTTACTCACCAGAACTGAGATTTTTAGGTATAGATATTATAGAAAACCTTAAATGGAATACCCACATCCGGTCATTATATTCAAAACATAGTAAAACATCCTATATAATTAAATCGCTAAGAGGAGCTTTGAGTCCAAAAATGTTAAGAGGCATTTATTTTGGAAAATTTCAGTCATTATTGAGATGTGGAATAATATTTTTGGGGGTGAAGGTGATAGTATAAAGGTATTTAAAATGCAAAAGAGGGTGCTCTGAATAATTAGTGGACTTGGTAAACAAGAGTCATGCAGGCAAATTTTTAAAGATTATGGCATCCTCAGGGTCACTTCTTTGTATATCTTAGAGGTGTTATGTTACATAAAAAGTACAAAGCAGATTTGATCCAAAATATAAATATTCATCGTTATAATACAAGAATAAACAAGAATTTTCATGTTCAATTCTGCGGAACTACATTATTTAAAAACAGTGTGGTAAATATGGGGATAGAATTGTATAGTAAGGTGCCAAACAAAATAAAAAAACTCATTGGGTTTTTCAGCTTTAAAAAAAGACTTAAAATCTTTTTATTGAAACATTCTTTTTATATGATAAATGAATTTGTTAGTTTTAATAAAAAAGTGGATGGTGCAAGTACTTATGTTTGGCTGTCATAGCCATTCATGAGCTGTATATAGTAGTTTATGTATTTTTTTAAAAGTTGTATTTATATACTGCTTATGATTGTAACAAATGTTGGTAGTATGCTTGTAACTTCGTAGCTTTGTTTTGTTGTATTGCCGAATGCCTTGTCCAAGTGTTACTATGTAGCAAAATGGATGAAAATACAATACAGTACAGTGTTGTGTGGCAGTATGTATGATGACTGTGGTTCTTATGTATTTTGTAATATATTACAGCGAAATTGTATTGATGATATGGCTAGCCAATGTATGTGTAATGGTGGGAGTGTAACTGTGCCGAATATGGTTGTTATGGTTGGAAAGAAAGTGACTGTGGTGTTTCCACAGCCTATATGGGATGTCTTGACAGCTGGCGCTGTCTGCGTGAGGCCTAATTATTTACTATATTGGACCAAGGACGTATTATGTGTGGTCATCATGAATTTGTAAAATATGACATGTTTTATATCCAGCCCTTTGGGGAGGTGATTGGATTGATGAAAATGTAAATGTAAATGTACGTACTTGCCACAATCGCCCATATTATTTTGATGCTGAACATGCATGAAATTGAGACTAGGCATACATGGATAGAACTTGCTGTAACTTGTTGTATGATCTTCATGTGAACTCCAGCAGTCATACATATTGCCATCATAAAATGCATACGTGTACATACAATGAAACCCCCACCTAAGTCTTCTTTGGGGATCAGTAAATTTGAACATCAGACAGGAAAATCTTAAGTGGATGGAATTTAACATTAAGGTTATTGAGTTGCAGTCACTGAAACTGAACATTAAATGAGGGAAAATCTTAAACCGAGGAACACTGAATCCCCCATTCAGTGTCGACTTGGTATTAGCTTGGAGTATTCAGACAGAAACTTTATGAACTAAGTTGCGTTATATAATAAATACAGCAGAAACAGTGTAGTATAGCAGCTGTCCTTAAGTCTGATTGAAGAAATTTACTTGTACAGACGTAGGGCAATGTGAGCTTTGAAATGAATGAACATACATCTCCATGGCTTCTTGTGTTTATTCAGTTTCAACCAGAGTAACACAAGAACATTATATTTATAAATTTTTAAGTACAAAATTGGTTTGTATTTTTAACACAAAAAGGTTTTCTGATATTTCATGTGATACCAACGTTTAGAATGGGTGGAGTTGTAGTGCCACATCTGCTTTATATTCTCATACTAATAACTAAGTAAATGGAGAAGAATCATCCATAAGAAACTAACAGTCTTTCAATCAGGTATTTTTAAGCATTATTTTTATTCAAAATGCAAGAATCTTGTTTGTGCAAGTGATCACATCACTCTTGAAGTGGAAGTTATTTGGTTTCGTTTTTAGCCTTTAATTTTGAATGGTGCATTTTTACGGTTTCCTGTATTTTTCTTATGTCATTCTTATCCATGACAGTTCAGTCAGTATAGTGACTTGCTATGGTGTAGACAACTAGGGTCCACTTCATGGCAGGAACAGGAATTTGTCTTCACCACTACATCCAGACCTGATCATTCTCCTGTACATTGGATGCTGGGGATAAAATGACCAAAGCATGAAGCTGACATTTGCCTCTATCCAATACCATGGTTACAGAAGCATGGCATTTTGCTTCTGCATTCCCCTATGTCCTAATTTTAGGCCTTTGGTGCTTAGGCTCAGGCACATTGTTACATTTTACTTTTACCTTATCGGCATCAGGAATAATCTAATTTTTGTTCCCTCTAGGTTTATGGAGCAGCATCCTGAAATGGACTTCTCAAAATGTAAGTTTAACTGATTAAATGACAGATGACAGTGCATGAAGTTGCAGGCTTTCCAGACTGAATGTTGGTGAAGACATGTTGAACTATAAATATTACTGTAACTGGAAGATATTGAAGATGAACAGTTTGTTCAGTGGTATAACAGTGTTACTTAATTTTCCTTCATTTGTCAATCACAGTTGTTAATACTTTCAATATAGAGAAAATTTTGTTCAAAATATGTAAAGCCAGGTTTTTTGGTCTACATAGATGGTGTTACTGTGCAGAGAAAAGGTGTGAGCTGGTCATTTCATGACCAGTTGTAATGCCTGAGACAAGAAAATGTTTTCCATATGAATTTCATATTGTCAGATATAGCCCATTGCACATTTCAAACTGTAATCCTGCAAAAGAACAACTGAAGAGACATGTTTATGAATTGGCAATGCACAGTTGTTTTACACTGTTGAAAGCTGTACTGTGAAGCACGCAAATGCCACTTAAAAAAAAAAAAGTATTTCCCAGATATTTATCACATTTGAAGGAAAATGCATTATTGATTTCCATAATTGATTATTCCTAATCTCTGTGTTGTCAGTTTTAAAAATATGTTGAATAATGTATCTGATATTCTTTGGCATTAGCTGAAATTTGGTTAATGCTTTCCATGAATAAATTTGCTGATGTAATTATTGCCAAATAAGATACTATGAAAATTAAATGTAATTCTTTCTTATGCAGATTTTTGCATTGTATTATATCCTGTTACTTCATCTTCATGCAGCTGAGGTACCCAGTCCTCGACATCAGAAAGATGTTATTACTTCAGAAAAGTGTATTTTATTGACTTTATAAGAAGCAATAGACAAAAGCAGACAAGTTAGCTTACATACCTTATTCACATTTTGAATCTCCCTGTCAGTGTAGTTCTTCAGAGTTTTCCCAAGATTTTAAATGAATGCTGAACATTATTAAAAACAAGCTCTAGATGCTTCCTTCCCTGTCATGAATTACAATTTCTGAACCTAACATCTGTTATATAATTTTGAGCTTTACAGCAGAGCATGTAAACTACAGAAACAGGTAGTATTGTACAAAATGTAAGTTTATTTTGGTAGACAGATGTATAAGTTCTGTTATGGTCAGTTCTGTGTAGGACATGCCATAGCACAGATGGTTACTCCTGTCCAGTCCCAGGTCAGGTCATGTGGTATTCTGTGATGGAAAAAGTGAAGTGGCAGGTTTTCTCTGAGTATGTCAGTTTCCCCCACCAGTTTTCATTCCAACCCACTAATTGCTCCTGTGTTCATTTATCATCCTAACATCAGTGTTATATCATTTTTCTATTATAAAAAGGTTGTCAGGACATAGCATCAGGCATTCATACTAACAGATTTGTCTCTTACGACATATGAAACAAGTAACTTACATAAGTGAGGGATTAGAGTTTATTCTTCTTGCTTATATAATGCTGTATTTTTCTATAGGTTACTGTACTGTTGTTGAGTTTTATCCTATCTATATAACATAATTAGTTTTCAACTATACATGACATCAAGCATTACATGGAGAATAAATGAAGAACTTGTATATGTGTGAAATATATTTATTTTTCAACAGCATTTTACAGAAATACAGCCAAGTTTACCATCCAAGAATATATATCACTCTGTTTTATCTATAAAACTAGTTAACTGACTAGCAACAGATACTGCCAGTATAAGTGCTGCAATTGCCAATCCAATGAATAATATGTTGTGTGTATTCACAGTCACTGGTAGGATATCTTCTGAGGCATCACCTTCGAGTTGAGGATCAAGCGCATAGAAATCTGCAGGATCTGCAAAGAAAATGGTAAACATTCAGAAGATACTAGGAAATAACATAATGTACATCATGTCCATAATGTGAGATCTCACAAATATCTAGTCCAATTCTCTAAAGGGGAGAATACATATACTGTTATCTTGCTGATGACTTTAATGTATTAACGTAACAGATCATATGCCTTCTGACTTTTGATACACCCATTCCATTACGGAAACTCTGATAGAAGTAATATTCTATAAGTCCTTTCAATACCATCAATACATTGCTCTCAGTCTTCAAGGCAATTTTTAGTTTTGCAAATACAGTCACACAGGGTAAAATGAGACAAATCTGTAAATCAGATGCTAGTATTTGTTTTTTGCCCAGAATTCATTTATCGCATTATCATGATGAAAAGGCCACTTATCTAGTCATTAATTTGGTCTTTTGGAACACATATGTAGCAGTGCCTTTGTTGGAAAACTTGGTTAGTTAAAATGCTTGGAGCAACAATTCATAATTGAAATTTATTTGACAACTTCAAGGCGATATTACAAATCTGGCATATCAATATAGTAAAACCTTTAACTTCCAAATAGCTGTACATATGAAGACACTGTGGCAATAAGTGAAATTAACTGAAGGCCCAAAAGGAATCTGAACGTTTTCAAAAGCTGGCTTTATGGCAGGCATGTGTTTCTATGGCTAAAAGACCATTCAAATAAACCCATCAGTACATACCAGCCTGCACTTCTAGATCCTTCTGCACATCTGACTCTTCCACCTCCACGTCTAACAGCTCTTGAAGTGATATTAAAGCTTCTGAGGGCCCTTCTCCAGGAAACAAATAATCAGAAAGGGTAACTCGGCTACCTGGCAGTGACACCAGAACTCGTCTTGGTGGTTCGTGCAGCGTCAGATGCTCTATTATAATAAAATAGACGAACACACTGAAATCATTCCTTTCATGTAATTTTATCTGTACATCTTTTCTCACTTGGTGGAGAACTTTCCATCAATTAGATTCAGTCACAGTGTTGAGGCTTCCAGGCCAACTTTAACTCCTGGGATCAAGTCTGGAATACAATGTATTTAATGGCAAACATTTTACACTTTGCCTGATTTTTGTGGTCATTCCACACTTTTTATATGCAGCCATGTCAGGTCATTAATCATGAATTAATCCAGTATCACACTATAATTGTGCAGCCATCTGTAACTAAGAACACAAAATTCTCTTATGGCTTACCTGTCGAGTGCTTCAATAATGTTTCACTGCGGTGACCAAAGTGAGTACTGAAGTGTGAAAACATACTGAATTCTATACATGCCTAAACTGTATTCCTCTTCTTACACATGTAGTCCAAGAGCCAGTACTTACCTGTTTTCAGATGGCATTTATATACACATAAAAAAGAGAGAGAACAGAACGACTGACATATCATTGTTTAGCTCCTTGTGTTTTCTGTAATTGTTGATGTTACCCTGAATTACACATTCAAATTAGTATACCTTCTGGAGATCCATTTTCCTCTTCTATAAGGGAGTCCCAGTGCAATTCAAGTCGTGATGCAAGAGAGCGAACAATATCTTGTTTTACTGCCTGTGAAGTAAAGTATTCCACAAATAAAACTCAATAAAATGTAATATGAAGACAAGGCATGCAGTGAACTAGTTTGACGTTAATCGAATAAGCACCTGAAGATGGCACTTTTGTGCCGAAACATGTAGTGCGGGAGAAAGGAGTGAGGTAGATAAGTGTATGCACTAAAAGACGGTGAAATAAATCATGGACTCAATAAAATTCTATTCACATGATCAACACATCCTTCAAACACTTTTCAAGGAGAAAATTCTAAACAACTGTTCTCTAACTCACTGACCTACAATGGAACTGTTAACATTTTAAGGGCTTTTATTGAAACTGTCTCAGAATGGGAAGGCCACCTGTCAGACTCTCATCATTTTCGCTTCAGGACATAGGAAATCTTCCTGTTCATGCTTCAGTTTCCCACATCTTGAGTTGCCAATATCTTTTCTTCCATTCTGTGTATAACTGGAAAGTTTGCTACATAATCTATTCCTTGCAGATGTTCTAGTCAATAGTCACCAGGCTCCGTTATGCCTTTATTTTATTTTCTGCTGAATATATTCCTTCATACTTTATCATTTCTGATCATATCCATTCTTGTACTTCCCATGACTTATCATAAATTAAAAGGTCAATCAACTCCATCCAGTGTGACTGATGTTATGAGTCACACTGGATGGAGCTGATTAACCTTTTATACGATCACTAGTATGATAGACCAGGATGAACCAAATTCAATGATCATAAAAATTTCATTGCAGGGTTTGAATTTTTGTTGCCTTTATTATCTATGCTTCATTCTCATGAAATAAAACTGCCACTGTCTTATAGAATTTCAGTTCTGTTTCTTTTCTAGTTTTCCTTTTTAAATTTCTTCTTATAGTGTTGCATGCATTTTGAAATCTATGACCTTTGTCATTATATTTATGCAGGGATAGGAGAAATGACAGCAAAAAGTATGAACTAGTGGTGGTAGTGATGGGGCAGTGGATGGATGGAAGGAAGTGAACCTGCAAATGAAAGAGTACTGGAACTGAAAGCATCATGATTTAATGACAATATTCAATGCAGACAATTCTAACGCAAATAGTTGAATGTATTCGTCCAGTCACTAAACTAGTTCTGGAAGCAATGATGCCATTCAATTTATGGTATTACTGCAAGCTCCAATTCATATGCATCATATGCAGTGCTTGAAAACTAGTAATAGCGAAGCAAAACTTCACACTCAGAAACAGAATGATTCCAAAATTGATGGTCATATAACTGTATCAGCATTCTACAAGAAACTGACTGTGGTGTTTGCTGTGCATTAAAAGTCATTGTAAATGTGCATAAGGGCTTCAAAGTATCTTGAGTTTCATGTGTAATGGTGGAAAAATGAACACCTGCTGATGGGGATGTAGCCACCACCATCTGCTTTAGATTTTTTGATGGCAGTACAGTCAGTGAAAATCAAAATAGCTTCCTGGCATTTCATTTTGGGATCAGATTGGCGAAAGTTGACACTTTCATTCCGCCTGTGATTGACACATGCAGGAATAATGTCATGAATTGTCTCAAAGTTTAGGAGACCTACTCCAAAATGGCTGATAAAGGCAGACTTCTCTTCATGCCTTTCTGCCATCAATATAACCAATAATGGTGCCATAGGGGTCAGACTGTTTTTACTAATTGCAATTTAATTTAACTGAAGAACACACTGCCCATCAAATGAACAAATTATGCTATGGGAAAATATATTAGTTTTGAAAAGTCAGAAATGTACACAAGACAATTTGACAGTAGGTTATGGAAATTTTATTGAGGCTTGAAAATTATGTTACTACATGGGGAAAATTCTTATCCAGGTTTTTCTATAATTCTTCACAAATAATTATGCCTATACATTACCCGTTCTGCCTCTTGTACTGTTGCTTTCTGATGTAGGAACACTCGACTTGCCAGACTGCCAAAGAATTTCATCTCACCAGAACATTCAATAATTTGCATTTCACTAGCCTTTTCTGTCCTAGTATCCTGGTTGAAAAAAAAATCATAAAATATAATGTATTTCTTTCAATATCCATTATACTAATATTACTGCTCCATCTACACCTGAGAAGCCAGGATAATTAAGTCAGTATAACAGTGGGCTATGGGCTGGACAGCTGGTGTTCAATTCCCAGCAGGGACAAGAAATTTTCCTCTATATCACAGCATCCAGATTGGATTTGAGGCTCACCCATCCTTCTGCCCATTGGGTACTGTGGGGGGTCTCCCCCCAGGGGTAAAGCAGCTGGGGCATGAACGTGACCACACATCCATCTGGTGCCGAGGTCAAGAGTGGAGGAGCTATACATCCATTCTCCAATACATCTGCATGGCATGGTTCATAATTAATTAATAACTGCAATTAAGGTTTCCATTATCCCACCAGTAAACAGAACTTAGGTTGTCTATAGCTACAGTGTCTGGAATTAAGACTGTATAAGTTTAAACCGAATGTGTCACTCGTGAACTTACACAGGGAATGTATAAACTGACATTTAGTGTCTTGACTTCTCCAGTGTTGTTGCCTCTGCTGCTGGCTTTAGATTTCTTCTTTTTCCCGAAGGCATCCAGTACTTCTGATGAATCTTTCAGCTCTCCATCAAACATGCAAATGGCTGACTTGATATTGTCACACACAGCTGCTAACATATCCTAAACATGGATGTCATTAATTAGGACTATATTCCTGATGTACGTACAGAGGATTATGAAGGACAGAACAGTGTACTGAAGTATTTTGTGTTGCTTTGTTTATTACTGATACTGAACTAACTCCATGGAACAGAGTCCTTGAGAAGCTGCTGATCGCTCAGCTACTTGAGAATTTCCCAACATTTTATGGGAACCTGAAGGTTCATTACCATGTTCACAAGAGCCAAATCCTGTGCCAGATGAGTCCAGTACATACCATCCCATTTCTCTAAGATGCATTTAATATTATCATCCCACCCATGTCTAGGTTTTCCTAGTAGTCTTCTTTCCTTCTGGCTTTACCACCAAAACCCTCTATGAATTCCACTTCTCTCCCATATGGGGCCCTGTCCACCTCATCCTCCTTGATTATATAATTCTAATTATATTTGGCAAGTGAACTCACCACATAACTGCCCTATATGGTATGCATGAAAAATCTCTATTACATATCATTTGCAGAACTGAAGCAAACATCCCTGATGGCATACCATACACATCTGACATTCTTTTCTAGTGGTTCATAGGTATTTAGTAATGCTGTATTAACAGTGGGGATTATTTAGAATCGTGTAAGATTACAGTTGTGTAGGTTAGACTAGGGAAGAATGCATACTGGTTATTTCAAGGCATTATTCTTAATCCTGACTGGAAACAGTGAGAAAACCAGAAAAAACCTCTGTCAGAATAGCCAATATGAACTGAAATCAGGTACCTTCCAAATAAAAATCAGTACTATTACTTCAGTTAAACTGCTTTTTTCCTCACAGTTCTCTACTACTGATATAGTATATATAATGTAGTCGGGCAGGGGCATGTCGTAGCATAGTTGGTTAAGGCACCATGCTACAAGCTGGAAGGTCATGGGTTCAATTCCCTGTGAAGTCATTGGATTTTTCAATTGATCTAATCTTTCCAGCCACACTATGGCACTGGGGTAAACTCAGCCTCTAACAGAAATGAATACCAAAAATCTGCCTGGTGGCTGGTGTGTAAGGCTGACGTACAGCCATCTGTGAGCCAACTGTCCAGAAAATGTGAGAGCCTCAGTGTCTCACAACCCTATGGGCCTCCATGGCCTCTTGCAGGGATAGCTTTATCTCTTATATAATAGATATTCCAAAACCAATATCCATAATTCTTGCTGTGTGACACTTGTCATGCACTTTAGTACAAGAAGTTCACCTGTAGATTCTTTTTCAATGATTGTGTTTGTTTATCTAAGCTGGTTGGAAAGACTTGATCTAAGTTATAATGGCAATCTATCTGGTGCCATCTGGTAGCCTTGGGTTGGAACTTCCACTCAACAGGATAAACTGAACTATTAAAGTTGTTGGTGTCAAATGACTTGCATGTATACCTAGAAAAAGAAAATTACAATATTATCATACATACTTGTTTATGTAAATCTGATTCATGGACACATACTTGGAATATTAGGTTTTACCTTTGTGTGGTACTGCATAAATGTAAAGCAAGTTTTTCTGAACTTGGACTGTTTCCATGAAGAAAGAATTTATTTGATAAATTCTTTTTGATACAGTGCAGAACAGTACGTAATTTAGACACAGCCTTTGCATCCTGAAACACATCTCCTGGACCAACAATGAAAATACCCAACACCCACATTCCTCCTGGCAACATCCGTGTAACCTGTAACAGTGAATCAAACTTAATATTTCAGTCCTTTCCCATATAAGGAACAATAAATTAAATTTACTTTACAAATATTTGTCAGTATATGTCAGAATGTCAACACTTTTACAAATTGTTAAGTATATCGCAACAAACAAACAAATTCGGGTAATTAATTCCTTATAAGCTTTTATTCATATACACATGCTAGGAATTATTATAAATGAATACTATACAGCTATAATTCCTCTAGTATATACTAATATACACTTTCCATTCCTACACGCATTACCTTGAAGGTTTCTGCATACTTACTTTATAAATTTTGCCCCAAACAAATTATTCATACAGTTTCAGGTATGTTTAACATCAGGTATTAGTATACATTTCACATGCCTAGTGCCATATACCACACAGTTCAGTAGTTAATACCATAAAATGGAAAAGTTAGAGTGCAATGAGTTGGTACATCACCTCTTCATATGCTTCAAGAAAGCCTACGATTCAGTTAGGAGGGAAGTATTGTACAATATTTTCATTTTCATTCATGAAACTACTTACACTGATTAAAATGTGTTTAAATGAAACCTATAATAAAGGTAGGTAAACATTTTTCTGATGTTTCCTATACAAAATGGTATAATCGTGGAGATGCTTTATCACCACCGCTTTTCAACATTGCTTTAGATTAGCCATTAGGAAGGTCCAGGAAAATCAGGTGCAACTGAAGTGAAATGGGACGCATCAGTTACTGGTCTATGTTGATGATGTAAATCTACTGGGAGATCACACAGATACCATAAAGAAAAACACAGAAACTTTAACTGACACTAGTAAGGAGGTTGGTCTCTTAAGTAAACTCAGTGAAAACTAAGTAATGTTGCTGTCTCATCACCAGAATGCAATGCAAAATCATGACATAAAGATATGTAATAGATCCTTTGAAAATGTGGCACAGCTGAAATATTTGGGAATGGGAGTAACAGATCAAAATTTGATTCATGAGGAAATTAACCTTTAAGGGACGGGCCATTTAAATTCCGGTAGTGGTAGCGGGACGGAGTTAATTTAAATGCCCACCATTGTAGAGTAATAAAAATTGTAATCATGTTACTCAAAATGTTGTAATTTCTACAATTTTTGTGATAAACGAACGACATAAATGCTGCTTTTATCCAGAAAGAATCAGATATTGTAATTTACAGATTTTAGAATCTGTAAAAATTGTTACACTGATTCCAAAATTTTTTTTTTCCCCAATTTTGAGTGTCTGTCAACAAATATGCAGAAAGTTTCTGCAGTATAAAGGCATGCTGCAAGACATCCTCTTTTCCTGTCTTTTCTTTCTAAAGGGGAGGAAGCTAATGTTTGTACGGCACATTCTCCAGTCACGTCGTAACCTTACCTTTCTACTATTGCACGAGTGGGCGCAAGTCTTATTGTACTTTGTACTTCAGAAACACTGCATGTTTATATCTCGGGCTAGCCACACAGAGGTACTCTTCTTGGAATAGCCCTGCAATGCCTTTCAGTTTCGTCTGTATCACATTCTGAATCGGTGAGATTTATGAGCGGCCTTCAATCTCGGCTTTTTCCATGCAAAATGTAGCCATGTTGGATAGTTCAAATTGCGATGTTTTATAAGCGTTATGATTCTGTTTACATCTCAGACTAAACACACAGAGCTACTGTTCTTGGAATGCCTTTCAGTCTCGTCTGTAATGCATTCTGAATCGGTGTAATTTATGATCGGCCTCTTCCATGCCAAATGGGTCCATGGTGGATAGTTGAAATTGCGATGTTTTATAAGCGATGCGATTAGAATTGTCCTTCAGAAACCCTGACTGTGCATATATCGAACTAACCACACAGAGGTACTGTTCTCAGCATAGCCCTGCACTACCAGAACGTTCTAGCCTAGTGCACTGTGTTATGAATAAAACATCGCAATTTGAACTAGCCAGCATGGCCTCGTTTCACTTAGAAGAAGACGAAATTGAGAAGGGCGAGGAAACAATGGGCTCAGAACCCGAAGTAGACGAAGATCCATCATCTTCGTCGGCAACCTGGGGACCACCACACCAGCATGGCAGGAGGCGTGTGAATAATTATTCCGGTGGAGCTGTGGGGTTAAATATCAATGAAGCTCCACACGTAAATAAGGATTCCACCCCTTTCTGCGTTTTCATGCTGTACTTCGCACGGATTATCCGTCTGCTGGTGGAAGAGACGAATAGGTACTACCACCAGTACCTAGACGAACTTCAAGACGGACCTTCTCCGCGGCCTGACATGACCGATTCCGAGATGTTTCTGTTTCTAGGAATAATCATTCAAATGGGACATGACATTAGAGACAGACTAAAGGACTACTGGTCGACTGCAGAACAATTTGCCATGCCTTTCTACTCTAACACAATGAAACGCGACCGTTTTCTACACATTCTTCGTTTTCTTCATTTTGCAGACAACAATACAGAAACTGACAGGAATGCCGACAGTTATGACCGACTATGGAAAATTCAGACCATCTTCAACACACTCAATGATGCATATGAAAAATACTATAACCCTTCCAAACATTTGGCCATAGACGAGATAATTGTTAAATTCAAAGGGAGAGTGGTTTTTAGGCAGTACATTCCTAAGAAACACAAACGTTTCGGAATCAAAATCTTCAAAATTTGTGATGCCACTGGGTACACCTATGACATGAAGGTTTATCTAGGAAAAGACAGGACACGTGCGGACCAAGACGTGACAGCGACACATGCTACAGTTAGGGGCCTATGCAGATGTATTGAGGGCGTAGGTCACAAACTGTACATGGACTATTTCTTTTCGTCACCAGACTTGTTTGAGGAACTGATGACAAAGGACATAACGTGCTGTGGGACAGTTAGACCTAATCGGAAGGGCCTGCCTGACGATTTTCGACGAAGACAATTTCGACTGAAGAAAGGTGACATTCGTGTTAGGGTGAGATGGAACTTTACAGCACTAGTTTGGAAGGACAAACGTGACGTATACATACTGACAAACATGCACTGTCCTCCAGCAGAAGGCAGTTTCTGTGATGAGCATGGAAATGCCATCAAGCCAGCAATTGTTGCTGACTACAACAAGCACATGGGTTATGTCAACAAAGCGGACAGAATGGCAAACAGTTATAGCATCAGTCGTCGGACCTGGAAATGGACAAATAAACTATTTTTCCATTTCCTGGATATGACGATTCTGAACAGTTTCATCCTGTTGTCATCCTGTGACGCGAAATTGTCACACAGAGAATTTCATCTCGCCCTTGTACGCAACATGCTGGAACATGCTGCAAGGGGTCCACCTCGCCCTCAACGGTCCAGGGGTCGACCTCCTGCTGTGTCATCGGCGATATCTCGATTAGAGGAGGCCTCTCGACATCACTGGCCGACTTCCTCTACTTCGAGATTGAGATGTCGCGTGCTCTTCGTGTAGGAAACGAAGTTACATCCGGACAAAATGCATGACGTGCGACGTTGGACTATCCATTTCCGGATGTTTCCAACAGTTCCACACGAAGGCATCATTCAATTAGATGATGCAGGAGGGGAGACAGACTACTTATGAAGCTGGTGTCGAAAAATAATGTACGTAGAACAAGAATTTCTATCTTAAAATTAGATTTTAAAACACTGTGCGCACGCGTGGACTGTGCATACCCATACGGTGTCTTTCAGCCACTTGGCTTTACTTTAAAGGTCCCCATACGGTGTCTTTCGGCTCATAAAGGTTAAGAAAAGGTTAAACTCAGATAATGCATACTACCATTTACTTCATAACCTTTTGGCTTCTCATCTGCTAAGAATATAAAAATAAGAATATACAAACCTACCATTTTGTATGTAGTTTTGTATGGGCGTGAAGTCATCCAGTCCCAACCATTCCAGATTCTCTTAGATTTTGATAAAATATTGCCTTGTTTTAGGCCACTGTGAACTGGAAAGGCATCAGACAAACTTTCTGTATATGAACTTTCCTAAGCACCCATGCAATCACATTTTAATTCATCTACTAGATTCCTTGTGGGGCACACGGTAGCATAGTTGGTTGAGGCACTATGCTACAAGCTGGAAGGTTGTGGGTTCAAGTCCCAATGAGGTCATTGGATTTTTTCAATTTACCAAATCCTTCCAGCCGCACTATGGCCCTGGGGTCGATCAAGCCTCTAACATAAATGAGTACCAGAAATATTCTTGGGGATAAAGGGCGGCCAGCGCGTAGGGCTGACAACCTTGCAGCCATCTATGAGATGATTGTCTAGAAAATGTGGGAACCTCAACATCTCACAACCCTATGGGCCTCCATGGCCTGTTACAGGGATACCTTTACTTTTTTACTTACTTTACCAGGTTCCTTGAGTATTCTGAATTTCATAAAGAATTTATTGTCTGAAAAGTGCCTTGTGATATCTGACAGATGGAAAGACTAATCATACCTACAATTCTGAATCAAGCAACTATGGTAACTTGTAAAACGTGATAACACAGCAAACTGTCACACAGTATTAAGCGATATGATGTTACATTATTACAGTAAAGATAATCAAGTTTCAAAAAACATTATAATAGCTCATTGGCTTCATTTGTGGTTTGCAGGTATGTGTGTGACCCCCATTTTCTCTCATTATTTAAAGATCAGAGCTCCCTATGTTCCTATGAATACCAGATTACTAACATGTTCTGCATGATCGACAACCAATGTTTCTTGGATATCTTGCACAGACTTGAGTGGCTTCAGATGTTCCACTTTACTTAGAGACTGAGCTGCATCTCCTGCACTTTCATCTTTCACATCTTTGGGTGCTGGGTGTGGTGTTCGTGCCAGATGAACCACATAATCACGCTGGCCTACATTCTGAGAAGTTAAAATATGTTAACACTACATCTTATATTTCCTCATATTCCATGCTATAATAATACTGCGTGACCTACATAAATTACGAAGTTACCAAAATAATTTCCTGAATTATTCACTTTATCCTTGTGAAGTACAAATATTCTGACATTTTCTTTCCAGAAAATTTAAACTGTATATTCGTCCCACAGAGACCATATTCCACACCCATAACAACCAAAGGACCAAACTGTTGACGTTGGTAGTGGTCGGGGTGATAACAGTACTTTCGGAATTAAATAATATTAGCATTTCAATGATCGATTTTTCTTCTAATTTCATTAACCTCACTCTTTATTTGCTGGTGCTTTCACACACTTAAACCCATGAACACTACCAAACGATACATTACACACAGACCTAATTAAAATAAGATTAGCATTTAGCGTGGTTGTATAACATTTCACACGGTTTTGTATTGAACATATTCAGAGCGGACACAAAGTTTGACTGCAATTGTCTTCCTTATGGTAGAATATAATTTACCTTACCTGGCCGAGAACTAACCCTACCACATAAGAGTCTGGCTCTACTAAATGAATTAAATAAGGCAGCAAATTAACTTCTGCGATTACTGTTCTCCCCATTTTATAACAAAATTAATACAACTTATACAAAATCACATTCATACTGTCGTACATTTCACACGCATACATTTCGTCTTTTGTCTTTATTTCAGTTGTAAGCGTTGTAAGTTTGTGCTCTCAGCTCCTCAGCTCTTCCAATTTTTCTTACATTTAGTTAGTAACGAATGCGTAGAGATGGCAGCAGTAGTGCACCGTGGTGACATGGCGGCCATGTTGCCCACCAATAACAAGAGAGTTTCACGGGGCTGATCTCGACCAATCAGAGAGCCTACAGGAACCAATTTGAATTCCCGCAATTATATGTGGTAATGGTCGGCCTTGGCAGGTGATGGCAGTGAGTTGGAAGTGAAAACCGTAATTATCGTTATGTGCTGCTGAGAACGGAGGAAAAGGTGTATTGGTTGGACTGTAGTTGGGGCTTGTTATGGAGGTTTGTTTGTTAATATGATCTGAAAATTTGTGACGCTGGTAAATTAGTACAATTTATTGAGTTTTGGACATTATCCACTGTCCTGTTTTTATTTCAAACAGCATTTCGCAAAATGGACTGAGTTGGACCCAATCGATAGAGCTGGTCCATATCCGGTCTCAGGCTTATACCGGAGGACTGAGGCAGAATCCAGTCTCCGAAACGTTGTGTTAAAAAAAACAGGGCGATAGATACCGTCCAAAGACTCAAAACTTGTATCAGTATATTCGATATTTATCCATGATTGTGAGGCATGACGCAGTGTGTAAGTACGTCACAGGATAGCCTTTGCTTGCTGCCCTGATTCGTGCCGCTTTCTTGCATGGCTTACTCTCCATTTGTGAACATCGAGGTGACATATTTCGCCAGTTGACTTTCAGTGGACTACAAAGTATTGTATACCAGAAGATAGAACTCTTCATAACAACCAGTGTGATAATCTCAAATCCTACAAAACACGATATGTTTGAGGCAGAACTCATAAAGCCAGTTTTACTATTGTATAGATTTCTATGGTATAGCTGGGCAAATAATTCTCTCAAATTACCCTCCAATCTATCTGCCCCCTCCAGCGGTCTCTTTACTCTGCTCTCACTCTTTCACAGAAGTGGCTGGATTGCTTGTTCTGCATTGTTAGGCAAGGGGTGACTGCAGGCAGGCTGGGATATCAGAGTGGGGCAACAAACCCTTCTGGTCTAGGAAATCTTAGCCCGACCACCAGTGAGAGTTGTTTGGTTAGTAAAGCCACAGTCCTATGGATTGCTGCTGTTATCATTATTGTTATATTCCTGTGAAGAACTTGAAGCTTAATAAAGAAATATCCACAAAAATTCTTTCAACATGTATCTGGAATGTCTCCAGAGCATATATCAAGGAAGCTGCTGGACTATAAGCCACAGGGAAGAGGAGGATGAGGAAGTGGATCTGTTCATATAAAATTGGATTTGAAATAGGTCAATAGGTGTAATCTGTGTTGGCTGTATTTGTGTGTGTGTGTGCATATATCCCCTCTGAAAGGTTTTTTTTACTCCTCTGGAAGTTTCATGTTAACAGTTTCTAAAACTAATTCATTTGTTTCCAGCATGAAACTGTGTGTGTTCCTTCAGTCAAGCTGGAGATTGATAAAGAAGTTGCATTTGGGGACAGTGAAACTCTTCGTGATGACAAGGATGGAATTTTCAGATTTCCTTCCTGTCTGATCCAAGATAGTCCATGTATTAAAGAAGAAGTGAAGGATGAAATTACTGTTGAGGAGGGAGGAGTGAATTGTGAAATTGAGGAAGGAAGCAAAACACATAGCCAGTGTCAGTCTGCAACCAGTGACTGGCCCATTAAAGTGGATTTGGATGAGGACTTGATTTCACAGGAGAGGAAAAATGCATGTGTTAAAGAAATGGGAGTTATAAGGTAAATTACTTTTAAATTGTTCTGTCTCAACATAGCAATTATCAGAACCAACTCACACTTCACCATGCAACAATGAGTTTATTGGACTTATAGTAGTATTACATCATGCTACATGTTTTGTCTTTTAAAGCCATCATCAGACGGTACAGTTTAATGAACATTTTTAAACTACTGAATAGCAGTTTAAGGTCTTTCATTCTGGTCCGTCACACTAACCAATTAACAATCAAGTTTCTTCCGTCAAATGTGACACTTTTTTAAGTTTTCCACCTCGTCAGCACCTGCCTTACATGTTTCGGCTCACCACGGAGCCATCATCAGAGGCATTTATAGTAGAAAAAGAAATCACCAACACACAAAACTTCACTTTGTCCAAGATAGCCACGTTCCAGTTAATTAAAATAATTACAAATAGTTAAAATTAC